GAAAGAAAGAAAGAAAGCTTTAAGTCATTTCCCTTGTGTTTCCATTATTTAAAAGTTTGCTGCTCTTTGGCTTTTCTCTGAGATGTCCTGTGGTTCACAAATTCATTTTCCTTTCACGCTGAAGGATTCTTTAAACAGATATTTTAACTTACAGGATTTGGTGGATTTTGAATACAGAGATTGGGACATTTTTTTTGGAATTTTAACAGCTGTAGAACCAATCTGGATGGTAAAAAAAATAAAAAATAAAATAAAACTGTGATTAGGGAAAAAAACCTTTCCCAAAACAGGGCTCTGAGGAACCTGATCTTGTGGAAGGTGTCGGGGTTAGAGATGGGTGTTTATTTTAGACTCCCTTCCAACCCAGAGTACAAAAATTCACGTATCAATGAACAAAAATACATGCAGTATTTCTAGAGGAAGAAAGTTTCTATTTCTATTTTGGTGTGAGAAGGCAGGAGGCAGCTCTGGGGCAGGGTTACCTGTGTAGGCGTAGCGCACCAGAGCCTTCAGCGCCTCGGGATCCACTCCCTCCATCTTGATCTCCTCCTGCTTCGCTTCCCGCACGTCGCTGGTGAACATCGCAGCAAAATAATCAGAAACTGCGCTGAGAACCAGCCTGGAGGGGAGCAGTGTTAGCAGGACAGCAAATTATTACCTCATCATCCCAGTACCAGAACATCCAGCATTATTCTAAATTGTGTGTACAATGGAAACGATTAGCATAGGACTCAAATCTTGCAGCAGTGAGCAGTGAAGTTAAAAGAGTAATTAGTAATCTAATTTTCTCCCAGAGTGCTTATCTGGGCAGATTTTCTTCCCTGATCTTGCTATGGTTTGACAGCAGCAAGAAGAGAGGGTGGACAGTGCCAGAGGTTTGCATTTGAATTTCATTGTGTTTAAAATAATAGCTCTAAAATGTTGATCACGTGATTTTATTCCACATTAACCGGAGTCCTAATTATAGTAACTCCTCATTCATAACTAACCAGGATATTCATAAATTGAGGCAGCTTTTTTGGGGAATTTCAGGCTTACAGGGTGCTGGGAAGTGTACCTGTGGGCTGGAATCTTTTGGTCTCCGGCGATCAGGAGCACATCACAGAGCTGCTTCTGCTGCAGGTAATTCTCCATTTTGCGGAAGGTTTGCTCCGCGTGGTTCGTGGACTGGAAATACTCGTCAGAGCCATTGGTGCTCATCCCAAGGGAGCTGCTGGTGGTGGACAGCCTGCCAGGGACAGAGAGAGTGATGAGCACAGCGTTAGAAATGCATTATAAATGCTGATTACGTTGATTTTTGTACTCAAAAGGCAGCACAGAAATATTGTAAATGATAAAAGTCCCGCAATCCTGGTCTCACCATGCCTTCTTCCAGCTTTTTCTCTTTGGTAGCTGGAAGTTTTCATTCATAAACCTGCACATAGGCTGTGCTTTACTACAGTTGTGTGTGGTGGGTGGTGCTACTGATTTGTCTGGTTCCATCAGCTTGGAGTGGATGCAGCACCGACGTGATCAGTGCAGCCTCCTGAGCCCCCACAAGCAGAATCCTTAAAAAAAAATCCTATTTTCCTGTGATACTGATTGCTAAAACACCTCTTGGTGTGAAATGCTGGATATTACATCTTTAGGTCTTATTTCTCATCTCTTCTTACATTGTCCATTAAGTTATTTGACTCAATAGTAATGAATCTGAAGAGAATTTAATGAGCACCCTCATTCCAGAGACATTTCCAAATTAAAAGCTCATGGAATCTGTACATTACGTGGCCTTTAGGATCTGAATGTAAATAATGGAGACAAATTAATTTCTCTGCCTTTCACAGAAATGTACAATATGGATATATTCCTCCCACTCCAGAATTCTGTTAGCTTTCCCTCTTATAGAAAACCTATTTTGTTTCAAAACATCATTCCTCACAGCCTTTAAATATGGATTTTGATGTAGATTGAAACTCCTTTCTGACACTTCCTTAGAAAAATCTTTATTTTTCTATTCATCTGTTTTTAGTAAATAATAATGCATTTGTTGGTATAAATGTATATCACACAGCTTGAAAATCCTGAAATATTTAACTCTACTTTAGCTAAAAATTATTTAGAAAAACATTTTCTCAGCTTAATAGAATATTTCTTTAGAATATTTTTTTAGCACCTGTTTTTTTAATTTCAAGCCCAACTGGGAAATAATGACAGCTGGTTGACTAAATTTCCTAGTTGTCTTTGATATTGTTACTGCAAATTCATAAATGACTAGGAGAGATAAGATTTCTTCATTAAATTAGTGTATTAAATTTAGCAGAATATTGGATTACACCCACAATTTAACATCTAGTTCAGAAAACAGAGAAATAAAAAAGGGTTGAATCGGTAGTATCAGAAAACAGAGATGTTAGATCATGCATTTTCCAAGACCATACCTCATTACACAGCTCTCAGAATTCAAGGGAAATAATTAAAAATCAAATTATAATGTAATATTGAATTGGGACACAGCAGTTTTCCATCCCCTCTGCAAAACGCTTCTGTCTTTATTACAATTTCAAATTCATTTTACCTTAGCTTAGTTTAGTTTTAAAGAAAAAGGGGAAAACCAAGTTCACCTCTAATGTGTTTCCTTTGCCATTTAGGACTTACAAAAATGAATTTGTCTCAGGGTGTTTAATGACTCCACTTTCTTATTTGTTTTCTTTCAATGCTTCATAGACAATGAGAAAGCTGCAAAATTGGATTATATGCTCATTAGTTTTGTATCAGCTACTGGATGCCAAATTCATACCGTGGGATATTTTGCTATTTACCTCTTAAGTGTCCTTTAATGGTTTTCAGAGAACTGTTTCCTGGAGAAATCTTTTTTTCAGATTCAATATATCCACTCTAAGTGATGCATCTCAGCACATTGCACTTAGCCTTGATGTTTGCAGAAAAAAACTCCAATAATACTCAACCATCCCTGCTGTAAATAAACAGTACTGGTTGTGTGAAATAAATAATTCCCCATAGCATGTATTTATTTGTGGTTAGAGAATCATTTCCAAGGGAGTGAAAGTCTAATTATTTCATTTAGTCTTGGGTACTTTTTTCAGAAGTTTAATGGAGTCACATTTAACTACAGCATAAATACCACTAATATAATTAATTATTTCAAAGGCAAAGGTCTTCAGAGACTGAAAAATACTGGAAGCAAAAGCAAGTTCACCATTAAAATTAATAATATAATTTCTGGTTTATCTTCAGCAGCAGATTCAAAATGGTAGATATATTATGGAGGGAAAAAATTAAATTCAAAGCTAAATATTTATATATTTTCCTTAGCGTATGACTGTCAGACTCAAATATTGACCTTCAGAGTGTAGTCCTGGGTAACAATGAGCTAAAGAAGTCAGAGATCAAAATATCCTAAAGGAAGGAGTCAGGAAAAGCTCTCTGGAGTCTGATGTGGAATTCTGGCAGAGAATGCTGAGGGTGTAACACAGATAAAGATTTATTCTATAAAATGTGCACAAGTTTGGACAAACAAAAGCCAAGTATTCAGGAATAAAAGTTTCCAAAGGTTCATTAGTCAGGGAGGAAAAATATCAATGTTTTGGTCTGAAGAATCAGAAACCCAAATTGTTTCATGTCATTTTTGTGTTGGTGTTCACTGGGACGAGGAGTTGTAATTAGCATTCGTAATAATGGCTTAAAACGTGGATTAGCCTGGAGAAATAAACCTATATTTAAATGATTCTGAAATCACTGACTTGTATGAATTTCATTTTAGGTAGGGAGCCAAGTGAAATCATTCCCAAGTTTTCCTGTAAGGATTTGTGAAGGATAGTCAAAATATGGTCACATATTTTAAAAGAAACATGGAATTTTGAAACGGACAACATAAACTGAAAACTTGAAGAAAGAATCAAAAAGCATTAAGGGTCTCAATGATACGAAGGACATAAATACCAGCCAGCGTGGCTGGTCAGAATGAATCATGTCAGAACATTGTATTTTATTCTTTTTTTTCCAATGTACCAAAGCTTACTGGGAGAAAAACATGAATTGTCAGAAGTCATCTCGCCTTTTGGATGACTTCTGACACTATTTCCCATGACATTTTGAAAATCGAGCTGGGATGGCAGGTTTTAAGTGTAATAAATACAGGAGATATGAATAACTTGTTTGGCCATGCTTGAAATCTGTCAGGGATTCAGTTCCAAAGGCAGAAGAGCTGAGAGCATTCCAGACAAATCCTGCTCCTGATGCTGCTCCGTGATTTTATTACAGAAAATCATGTGGTAGAAAGAGAGTTTAATTGTTATTAATGTTTTATTTTATTTTATTTTATTTTATTTTATTTTATTTTATTTTATTTTTATTTTATTTTATTTTATTATAGTTTATTTTAATTTTATTTAATTTAATTTTTATTTTATTTTATTTTATTTATTTTATTATATTTTATTTTATTTTATTTTAATTTAATTTAATTTCTATTTTATTTTATTTTATTTTATATATTTATTTATTTATTTGTTATTTTATTTTGTATTTATTTATTTTATTGCTATTTAATTAGTATTGTGGGTATATCATTGCAAGACAAAAAAGTTTTTGGGAACAGAATTTAAATTCACAGAGGCATCTCTGCCCTTGTCCTCACTGAAATTTAGGGAAATTTTTACTTTTTAAAGAGCTGCTTACACCTCTCTTCAAATAATGACCTGAATGAAACACGGGGGAGGAAATGCCAGGTAACAGTGAGATTGTACGGGATCCTAAGAAAGCCAGGACTTACAAATGGTGTGTGGAGGTAAAAATTCATCTTTTCTGTAATTAGAATTGATGCCATGAGTTTTGTGATTCATTCCAGGCCTGCAATTCTTTAAATTTCTGAATTATGTTAAACTTCTTTTCTGTCATAATGAAGAACTCTTCACATTAATCAGCAGAGCACTCTTCATTAATCAGTATATAAAATCTAAATCCAGATTTCCTCATTATTGAATTAGAATGTGATAACACATAAATGCCATTTATTTGCCGTGCCCTTTTTCAAAATTCAATGTTTTATTAAACCTCATTCAGTGTGCCAGTGGCCAAAACCAGGAAGCAAACCTGATGATAATGAAGCTTAGAAGAATAATATTGCAAGAAAACAAGGTTGTTTATTGGAGCCTTTATAATTCTGTTGGTGTTGCTGATGCTATTATTTATTATGTTTATGGTGACCACTTCTCGGGTGTTGAATGAGCCTATTTAAGATGCTGTGATATTTGTGAAAGTCAGTTTAATCAGGTTCAGTTTTTGGTGCCATTTAGGGGTTTTGTTTTGGGGTGCACAGCCAATCCCAGCAGTCACCAGCAGCAAACTGGGAACCAGCGAAGGGCAGCGGCATGGCCTGGATCTCTGACAGCCTGGAGGGCAGGGGGCTCCAGCCCTGTGAGCAAGGCAAAACTGCAGCTCCACCAGTTCACTTGCTTTGTGCAGCTCATATTTTAATTTTTTTTTAATATTTCCAGTGCAGCTCATCATTTTCCTTTTCTCCTTTTATTTTTGCCGATTTAAGAGAGGTGCAGCTCAGCTCCTTTCCCAAGGCAGCTCTGTACTGCTCAGCCATGTGAGCTTTGGCTGCTGAGAAAAACCCTTTTCCCACAAAAATCACAGCAGCTGTCACAGGCAAACCCCAGCAGCTGACTGAGAAATGAAAATATTTCAGTTAGGAAGCCATGTCTGAGCACAGATAAAATAATGATAGACTTGATGTGCTTGTATTAATTGATGCTGATAAAATTGTGGCACATCAGTAATTGATGTCCCACCCTGTGTCTTGAAATTTCTGCTGCAGTCATCTTCTTTATTTTTTATTATTTTTATATTTTTATATTTTATTACATTTTTTTTTATTTATTGTGAATTTTTTAGGGTGTGGCTTAAAACATTTGTCCCAAAAGAGGATGGGAAATTGTTGATGACTGATGAGGTTGTAACATTAACATGAGTTTTTAATAATGATAGAAAAGGATGTAGCAACATGAGTTTGTAATAATGATAGAAAATGAAGAAATGAAATAATGAAATGATAGCAAATGAAGAAATAAGTAATTAAAATTTATAATTTATTTCAGTTAAGGGAGAAACTCCTGACTTCCCAACTAATCTGAAAGCTCTGACAATTCCTTTAGAACTTGAAGCTCTTGAAACTGCCTGTTTTTAGCAATTTTTTTATTGCTAAGGTTAAAATAAACCTGCCAC